CACACATGGAAATGCTGAAAATTCTGTTTTAATAACAAAAAATAACACACAAAAAAAACAAACAGCAGATACCTACCCTCTGATTGGCTTGCTTTTCACTTTTAAGTTTTTTATCGTAATCCTGAAACAGACATGTGTATGCATGCTGGAGTTGGGCCAGCTTCCTCCTAGATGAGGAAGAGCAACAGGAATTGTGGGTTACTGATACAACAATGAGAAAAAAGGACGCTGCGTTTGTTACAGAGCTCTCCAACCAGCTAAACTCACCTCTCCTCCACTATGACTAGCCTCTCGTTCTTCAGTGCAGTTTCTAGGTTCTGTGTCTGCAGTAAAAGATTGTCCACTGTCACACTGTGCTGCTTCTTCTGTTGCTCCATATCTCTCTCTAAAATCTGCAGGCGTTCGGTCTTCTTGCACAACCTGAGGGATCAAACAGGTCTCGTACACATAGCTGCTGATTCTCATTCACAAACACATACACAAGGACTAAGAGATTCACTCACTTATCCTCTAAAATTTGTCTCTCTGCTTCACTTTTCTCCAGCCAGTTTTGTCGTTCATTCAACTCACCGAGTAGGGACGTGACCTGAGCTCTCAGAGCTTCACTATCCTTTGTCAGCTACAAACACAAAGATGATGATTACTCATCCCAGACTACTGCGAATACTGCCACAGCTCAGCATAGAAAGAAGTGGCATTTGCCTACTGAATCATAGGTTTATGTACCTGAATAAAGTCTTTCTCTTTCTGTTTGAGTAGAGCCTCAGTTCTGTCTCTCTGCACAGAGTTCTTCTGAAGGCAGTCCAGCTTCTCCTGGAGCTCCCTGTACCTACATCACAGCAAAGACAGAAACAGAATTAACCGTCCATCTTACTGCAGTTCACCACCAAATGCACTACTAGTTTGGACACCAACTGATTCCTTATTATAAGTATTTTCTACATTTCAGTAAGTAAAAGTAAGAAGTAGTAAAAAACAGAAGTGTGGGGAATATGTAATGACCAAAATGTTAAACAAATCAAACTCTCTTATATTTTATCTTCTTTAAAGTACTTGCCTAGATGCAAATTCTGGCCATTTTCTTACATTTGAGAGACAGACAACAAGCTCTTTATGTGAGCTAGGCACTTGTTTGCTATATTTACTATATTCATTATAACTCCAATAAAAAATATATATAAATGCCAATAAATAAATAACAAAATAAATACTTATAACATTACAAATTCCTTATTTCTAAAATATATGAATACAAAAATAATTATACACTACTGTTCAAAAGTTTGGGAGTGGTAAGATTTTTAAAAATGTTTTCAAAGAGGTCTCTTATGGTCAACAAGGCTGCATTTATTTGATCAAAAACACAGTAAAAACGGAAATATTGTGACATTTTAAATACTCTTCTCGATTTGAATATAGTTTTAAATATATTTCTGTGATGGCAAAGCTACATTTTCAGCAGCCATTACTCCAGTCTCCAGTGTCACATGAATGAACAGTTGTGCTGCTAATGTTTTCTCAAAATTTTAAGTTAATTTATAGAAAGTTCATATAAAATCTTCTGTAATATCATAAATGTCTCTACTGTCACTTTTAAACAATTTAATGGGTCCTTGATTAATAAAAGTATTCATTTCTTTATTTAAACTTCTGACTTCTGAACAGTAGTCTAAATTTGAAATATCAAATGTCAAAACAGTGCATCTGTCTCATTCCAGTCACAGACACCGTGTTCTGGGAACACCAATTGGGGGATGGACACTCGAGCACACACACAGAGAGATATAGTTCCCCTCACCTGCCTTGTGTAGCCTGAAGCTGCTCAGTTAGTTTAGCCAAGTGAGAGCTAAGCAGACAAATGGATCAAGACAGAAGACAGAAAAGAGAGATTCCAAACCATTCACATTAATAGAGAGGAAGCCGAAGCACTTTGAGATTTTTTACAATAGAAACCAAGCATGCAGAGTTGAGGGAGGATCACTATCAGCTCTTTACAGCCTGTAGGGAGAAAGAGCAGTGTAAACTGAACATCTGAGACTACCTTTCTGCAGGAACGGTGAGAGCACATGTCTGCTGAACTGACTCTTCAGTAACACCAACATTCTAATAAAGAAAGGATGAATCAATTAACAGAAGTGAATTACCTCCTAAGCTCAACCAAAGTGTAATAAAATCTAAACAGCATTAGCTATTTAACTTTTTGTAAGAACACCAGTAACAATAGTGTCCTGTGGTGTGATGTGTTATAGACCCATTCAAAAGTTTGAGGTCAGCAAGATTTTTTTTTTTCAGCAAGGATGCATTAAATTGATCAAAAGTGACATTAAAAACATTAATAATGTTATAAAAGATTACTATTTCATATAAATGCTGTTGATTTGACATTTCTATTTAAAGAATCCTTTTAAAAAATTTATCAGTTTCCAGAAAAAGCATCACAAATGTTGATATCATTAAGAAATGTTTCTTGAGCAGTAAATCAACATATCAGAATGATTTCTGAAGGATCATGTGACACTG